ATTTACTACGAACCATTTGGCCAAGTCGTCTTCCTCCTAATATTCAAGCCATCATCGCAACTATGCGCAGTAAGAATCTGGATGAAACAGCAGAGGTAGCTGATTGCATCATGAAAGCAAGTCAAATACAGTCCATGATGGCAGCTACGGCCACGCCTACTCCTAGCACGATACCATCCAACAACTCACCAACAAGGTAAGGCACTCCAGATGGATCTAAACCATATAAGACGACACATGTCAATAAAATCGAAGAACCAACACCGTTCAAATTCACCCAGTTCTTTACCCCGACAGCGTTCTAACCACAATATTAGGGTAAATGGTCAAGGGTAAGGCACACTAGCTCATCCCACCATGACGGAAGACAACAGGAAATCAACCAGGAATCCTCATATGGCAACGACTGAGGTCCATACAACGCAGCGTCGCCTACTTGTATCTGACAAACCTACACATCAGAAATTCCTAGTCGACACCGGTGCTGATATCTGCGGGTATCCCAAGTCACTAATACCTGGGTCACATCAGATATCCACGTTCACGCTACAAGCAGCAAACGGCACCAACATAGCAACTTATGGTTGTCTGGTCTGTTTCTCGATTTAGGCCTACGAATATGTTTCCCGTGGCGTTTCATCATAGCTGACGTCACCAAACCAATTGCAGATTTTCTTGCACACTACCAATTGCTGGTAAACTTAAGCAGCCAACGACTCCTGGATCGACTCACACACTTCACCACCTCTGGTCAACTAATCAACTGCAGTCAACCTTCCGTCAGTCTTGTTACAGAAACGAAACCGACCACTTCTGCATACCACGAGATACTTCAGCATTTTCCCTCACTATCTCGACCCAGCGGGCAGATCACTTTTTTGAAACACTCAACAAGGCACTACATCAATACTACCCCCGGTTCACCGGTAGCATGTAAACCACGACGTTTAGCTCCGGACCGTTTCTCTGCAGCCAAGAGAGAATTTGAAACGTTGGTACAACTGGGTATCGCACGTCTCTCCTTCAGCCCCTGGGCATCGCCACTACACGTAGTCTCAAAGAAAAACGATGAATGGCACCCATGCGGAGACTACCGTTCTCTCAACGCGAGAACAATCCCAGACAGATATCCTGTACGCAACATTGACGACTTCACACATGCACTGACAAACAAGACAATTTTCTCTACTATCGACCTAGTTCGAGCTTATAACCAAATTCCAGTTGCAGAAGAAGACATCCCAAAAACAGCAATTACAACACCGTTTGGTATGTTCGAGTTTACGTACATGAATTTTGGATTACGCAACGCCAGCCAAACATTCCAACGCTTTATCGACGAAGTGTTACACGGCCTTGACTTCTGTTTTGCATACATCGACGACATACTGGTCGCATCAGAAAATGCTGAGCAGCACAAACAGCATTTACGCACGTTATTTACTCGCTTGCATTCCTACGGAATATTGCTTAATCAAGCAAAATGCAATTTTGGTAAACGAGAAGTCTCTTTTCTAGGTTATTCTGTCTCGGCAAATGGAATACTCCCTTTACCCGACAGAGTAACAGCAATCTTCAATTTCCCCAAACCTACTACCGCAAAACAATTGCGACGATGCTACCTTAGCAATTTTTTGTGACGCATCCGACCATCACTTGGGCGCTGCGTTACAACAATTCCACAATGGAACCTGGGAACCCCTTGCATTTTTTTCCTCTAAACTCTCGAACGTTGAAGCTAAATACAGCGCATTCGACCGAGAACTTTTCGCGATTTATCGCACAATTAAGCATTTCCGTCATTTTCTCGAAGCCCCTGACTTCATCATTTTTACAGATCACAAGCCCCTTACCTTTGCTTTCCGTCAGAACCCTGACAAATACTCTCCCAGACAGTCATGACACCTCAATTTTATTAGCCAGTTCTCAACGAACATTCAACATATTTCTGGGAAAGATAACATTATTGCCGACACACTCTCACGAATTTCTGAGTTATCAACACATGTTGACTACGAAGACCTTTCTTCTGCGCAGGAATCCGACAAGGAACTTCAAGAGTATCTCAACTCAAATCAATCCCTAAAACTCATACGAATTCACATTCCCGGCTCGAACAAAGCCATTTTCTGCGACATTTCTACTAGTACGGCAAGACCTTTTTTAACTCCAACATTTCGTTTTGCTGCATTCAAACAGTTACATTCCCTAACGCATCCTGGCATCCGTACATCCATAAAACTTGTGACCCAGCGATTTATTTGGCTATCTGCTAATAAAGATTGTGCCAAGTGGGCACGCGAATGTCTCCCTTGTCAAAAAGTAAAGATTATCCGCCATGTTTTTCCACCCTTTGAATTACCTTCGAGAAATTTGACCACGTCCACATAGACATAGTTGTGATGCCGCCCTCGGAAGGACACCGTTATTGTCTCACGTGTGTAGACAGATTCACACGTTGGCCTGAGGCTTTTCTCATGGCGGATCAGGAAGCCACAACGGTCGCACGAACCTTTTACGAAGGATGGATCTGTCGTTATGGCGCACCCATAAGAATCACCACGGACCAAGGTAGACAGTTTGAGTCTCAGCTTTTCAAGGAGCTTTCGCATTTAACAAACTCAAAACATATCCACACAACGGCATACCATCCCGCAGCTAATGGTATGGTTGAGCAACTACACCGACAATTAAAAGCCGCCATAACATGCCATCAGAACAGCAGCTGGACCAGGATTCTTCCCACTGTTCTTCTGGGCATTCGTGCAGCCTGGAAAGAAGATCTTAAGACAACAGCCGCCGAAATATTATATGGTAAACCACTTCGTCTACCAGGCGAATTTCTGGCACCGAATACCCGACTGTCTCACACCACCACCCAGACATACGTACAGCAGCTTCGCGATCACTTTCAACTTCTGCAACCTGTAGCTGGAAGCAGGCATGGTAAACAGAAAACTTTCATTTATGGAGATCTACAATCGGCCGAATATGTTCTGATTCGACGGGATGGTCCAAAAACCTCACTGCAATTCTCATACGATGGGCCATACAAAGTGCTTAAACGAGGCGAACATTCATTCAATATTCAACTTCCCAACACAAGCAAATCAGTATCTATCCAGAGACTCAAACCAGCATATATCGTGACAGATGAACAACATCTTCAACCTATACCTACAAAGAAGGAAATGGACGAACGACCAGCACATACAACAACCCGGTCCGGTCGTCGAGTACATTTCCCAAGATATTTCCGAACAGGTTAAACCACATCGTTCCTCACTGGAAGGGGGTCCTGTGGGAACACTCGGTATAGCAATAAACAATTCAAATGTGTAATAATTAAAGTTCATCATTTCTGCCGACTTAGTAAAATCGCGGTACAGTACGACTAACTAGGTCATAGACATTTACACACACATATGTAAACCGCTGAACTAACTATTGCCATTAAACCAATGTAAATAATTTTTATATAAATAGCGTGTAAATAATTGAATAAATCAGTCTACCACTAGGCTCACTTTTATTTGGATGCTGCAATAGTGTCAACCCTTGGATGCTGCAATAGCGTCAATCATCGGATGCTGCAATAGTGTCATAACTAATCATTGATGCTGAAATGTGTCCAACGCTATTATAAAATCGGTTCTTCTCAGAACCACAACTTTTGGTAGTCACATCTCATACGACTACGGAGTAATTACATTACAATTCTGAAGGACGGAGTACGCAATGTCCTGGAAAAAGTAAAGCCGACTAACAGCTCCAAAAGACAGAAAACAGATAAAACCACCTAAGAACAAAACCAACAAATGGAGATTAACTATGCAGACGTACAAATGAATACAAAAAACTCCAACAAAAGAAAGAAACCAAACCAAAATTCAATACTAATACAATTCAAAAAAGGAATCCTAGACACATCCACTAATGAAGAAATACAATCCCAACATTCAACCTCAAAAGCAAACATCCAAACAATCACTGATAATGAGGATCAGCAACAAAACTATAAATATAAATATCATCCCTGCTGTCACAAAGGAACCTACACTTCTCTAAAGCAAAAGCAACTAAAGACGGCATCTCTATATATCCTAACGGCGAACAAAATTTTCGAGAAATAACGAAAACGTTCGACGAAGAAAAAATTCAATACCGTACATATAAACTTAAGAATGAAAGAAAGCTAAAAGTAGTACTAAGAGGAGTACCACCAACAATAACCATAGCCGACATCGCACAATATTTACACAAACAAGGTTACCCTGAAGTTACAGACAAGGACATGAGATCCCGCTAGTAAAAATGGAACTGGATAGGATTTATAAGTGCATATACAATCTATACAATGCTGTAACCTAGACGTTACAGTAGAAAGTCTATATAAAAACAATACCACAGGGCAATGCCACCGTTGCAAAAAATTTGGCAACTCACAAGCTGAATGCAAGACTGAATACAAATGCCTGAAATGCGCCGCCAACCACTCCACCCGCTTATGCACCAAACCGCAGACTAACCCGGCAAAATGCGCAAACTGCTCGGGAGAGCACCCCCCGAACTGCAAAACCTGCCCGGAGATCCGAAAATGAAAACTAAAGAAGTCACAAAACACAAGATTCAGAAACTTACATATAGCTGGATTACCAAAAACGAACAACACACCATTAACAACAAGGAAACCACAACAAAAATTATCGGAGAAATGTGTATCCAATAGGCACTACTAAACGTTACACCAGAGCAAGCAGCGCAATTCCTGAACACCATAAAACTCCTACTACGATCAACCAATTTATGAATAACAATACCAAAAGAATTCCGGCAAATCTAAAAATAGCATACTGGAATGCACGCTCCCTAACTGGAAAAATAAACCTATTAAAACACTTCGTTACCACCCAAAACGTAGACATCATGTGCCTGGATGAAACCTTTCTAAAACTAGCTCAATACCCAATTACAAATTATACAAAAACGACAGAACCCGCAGTGAAGGAGGAGGCACGGCCATCTATATTAAAAATTCCATTGAACATAACCCGCTCCCTACCACCCCAAAGGAAGACATAATCGAAGCCACGGGCATCCGCCTTATCATCAAAAACATTGGGGCTACAGACATATACAGTACTTATTACCCCCCAATGAAAAACAACCAACCCCCTCTTCACGTGGAGCAAATGAACAAATTATTCGAAGGACAAACATCAAAAATCATCATAGGCGACCTGAACAGCAAACATAAAGAATGGAACTCGAGAGTAGAAAATGCCAAGGGGAAACACCTACAGCAATACGCAGAAGCTAAACAAATCCTAGTAATTGCACCAACAGAACCCACCCACTACCATGAATCAACAAAAACTTCGGAAATCCTCGACATTTCCATGATAAAGAACATCACCAAACAATTCCATATTACCACAATGGATGACAGCGGCCTAACCTCGGACTACAACCCAATCATCTAACATATAAGATCAGGAACAGAAAAAAACATTCTCCAGATTAAAACCACAGACTGGAATAAATACAACATCAGCACTCAAGAAAAACTGAAAAAATTCCACGCAGATTACTCAAACACAGAAAATCTCGAAAGAACAAGAACAGAATTTGAACAACTGATTTAAGATTCGATACAACAATGCACGCACATCCCCAATGACATATCGGATCTAATCAAAGAAAAAGCAAAAGCCAGGAAGAAATACCTCCAGACATACAGCCCTCAAGATAAAAGTGCCCTTAATGAACTCACCAACGAAGTAAAAACACGTTTACAGGAATTTCGGGATTCCCCATGGAATCATAAACTCGAAGAAGCAGAGAACTCCCAAATAACACTTTACACGTTAGCAAAAGCGTTAAAAAAGAAAACTAATTACATTACCTCCCTCAAAACAATGGTCAACAACACTGCAATCACAAACGATGAAAATGCAGAATTATTTGCTAATCACATAGAAAACCAATTCAAACCAAACCTTATTGACAGCGTCCTTCTCCACATTAACTATGAAACTCACATCAACACCAAAGTAAAACAAATATTACAAGAAGGAACAATCGACCCTCACATCACAACAAGCACAGAAGAAATAGAAGAGATCATCAAATCCTAATCCAACAGGAAAGCCCCAGGACCTGACAACATCTCTATAAAAGCACTAAAAGAACTTCCACAAATCGGCATTAATACCATCACCCACATTTGTAATGCAATCTTCAGACTTCAATACTTCCCCAAAAATTGGAAAAAGTGGTAATGATCCTAAAACTTCAAAAACTATCAAACCAACTTGGAAGCTACAGACCAATTAGCCTTCTGAAAACCATAAACAAAATCATCGAAGCTATAATCCTGAAACACCTCCAGACAGAAATCACCGACAAAAACTTCATTTCCAACCACCTATTCGGATTTAGAAAAGGCAATGCCACCACACATCAACTCGCCAGAGTAACGACATATATTGCACAAATGTTCAACAAAGGAAGAACCACCACGGCAGTCCTTCTGGATATAGAGAAAGCCTTCAATAAAGTATGGATCGATGGACTCATATATAAATTACAAACTCTAGAAATCTCCAGGAGATTAATAAAACTTCTGCACTCATACCTGACAGAAAGAAAATTCAGCATCAAAATTGAAAACTCAAGATCATCACCAATAAAATCTGAATCAGGAGTACCACAAGGATCACTCCTGGGACCAGTACTCTACCTTCTATACACTGTAGACATGCCAACTAGACCACACATATTCATCGCCCAATACGCAGACGACACACTCATACCAGCTCAAGCAAAAACAAGAATTCACACCGTCAAAAGACTAAACAATTATATTATCGAACATAAAAAATGGCTAAGAGCCTGGCGAATAAAAACCAACCCTAACAAAACTGAAGCCATATGCTTTAACAGAAAAGGCAGAACGCCATCTACGAACGTAAGGAACCAAGGAACTGAAATCTCACTCTCAAAAGAGGTAAAATATCTGGGAATTATTTTTGACTACAAAATTAAATTCAACAACAAATATACCAAAAGAAAAGGAACCACAGGGATTAGTTACAAAGACAGAAGAGTGATACTTAGTTTGTATAATGAGCAACAGACAGTTATAGAGATGGGGCTGCAACGTAGAGAAGTAAATATTAGGAAGGGAGTCCGACAGGGATGCACACTGCCACCGATCATCATTAAAGACAGTACAACTGTAGGGATAGATATACAGGGACAGAAGATTAGTATGCTTAGATTTGCAGATGATATAGCAGTATGAGCATCTAGCAAGGAGTTAGAGATAGTATTAAATAGAATGGAAGTGTTATTAACAAAACAGTATTGTATAAAAATAAATAAAAGTAAAACAAAAATACTGATTTGCAAGTGAAGAAAAAGCAGGGAAAGAGCGAATGTAATGATAGGAGACGAAAAATTGGAAGAAATGGCCGATTGCAGGTAACTAGGAAGTCAGATAAGTCAGGACGGAAGGAGTAGTAGGGATATAAAGCAGATGATAGCGCAGGATCGAGTCGCCTTCAATAAAAAGAAGTCACTTCTATGCTCGCTAACTGTTAATTTAGAGATGGTTAGAAATGAAGAGGTTTTAGAAAGAGTAGGAGAACAGAGGACAGAGATAGAAGTCAATAAGAAATAGGCGAGATATGTTAGTAGGACACCTTCTTAGGCACGAAGGTCTAGTCAGACGCATATTAGAGGCAGAAACGGACGTTACTAGGGGGTAGAAGTAGACCTACATTAGATTACTGTTCGCAGATAGTTAAAGATATGGGTTGTTCTACTTTTAGGGAAATGCGAAGTTTAGCTCATGATAGGAAAGAGTGAAGGTAGGTGTCCAATCAGTCTAAAGACTGACGACCTTATGATGACGATGATTTTGACGTTGATGTTGTCAACACCTCCTGCTTTATTTTCCATGGATATTATAATTCTGTGTATCTCAGAACAAGTTGTTGGTTGGATAAATATTATGATAGGTTTTCCCATCTGGTAATTTTAACGAGATCACAAAAAATTATTTTTTNAAACCAAAATTCATGTGAGGAAACTCGAACAATCCAAAAGGTGTTGTAATAGCTGTCTTCCTCTGCGACTGGAATTTGTTTATAAGCTCGAACTAGGTCGATCGTAGAGAAAATCTTCTTATTTGCCAGTGCATGCGTGAAATCGTCGATGTTGCGTACAGGATATCTGTCCGGGATTGTTCTCGCGTTGAGAGCACGGTAGTCTCCGCATGGGCGCCATTCATCGTCTTTTTTTGGGACCATGTGCAGTGCCGATGCCCAGGGGCTGGAGGAGGGATGTGCGATACCCAGTTGTACCAACGTTTCAAATTCTCTCTTTGCTGCAGAGAAACGGTCCGGGGCTAAACGTCTTGGTTTGCATGCTACGGGTGGACCGGGGGTAGTGTTGATATAGTGCCTTGTTGCATGTTTCGAAAAGGTGATGTGGCCGTTGGGTAAAATCCTGAAGTATCTCGTGATATTGTGAAGTGGTCGGTTTCGTTTCTGTAACGAAAGTGACGGAAGGTTGGCAGAAATTGATTAATTTACCAGAGGTGGTGAGGTGTATCAGTAGATCCAAGAGTCGTTGGTTGCTTAAATCTACCAGCAGCTGGTAGTGCGCCAGGAAATCTGCACCAATAATCGGTTTGGTGACGTCGGCTATGATGAAACGCCATGGGAAACATCTTCGTAAGCCTAAGTTGAGCGACAGAATAATAGTACCATAGGTCGGTATGTTGGTGCCGTTTGCTGCTTGTAGCGTGAACGTGGATTTCTGACGTGGCGTAGGTATTAGTGACTTCGGATACACGCAGATATCAGCACCGGTGTCGACCAGAAATTTTTTGTTTGTGGCTCTGTCCGTTACAAATAGGCGACGTTGCGCTATGCGGACTTGTCGCCATTAGTGAGCTCCCTGTAGGTTTCCCGTTGTCATCCGTCATGGTGGAATGTGCTAGTGTGCCTTGCCCTTGACCATTTGCCCTAATATTGTGGTTGGAACGCTGTCGGGGTAGAGAACTGCGTGAATTTGAGCGGTATTGGTTCTTCAATTCTCTTGCCATGTGTCGTCTTATGTGCTGTAGATCCATCTAGAGTGTCTGTACCTTATGGGTCAGCTGTTGTTTGGTATCGTGCTGTGGAGTAGGTGTGCCCGTAGCTGCTATCATGGACTGTGTTTGAGTTGCTTCCATGATGTAATCGGCGACCTCTGCTATTTCATCCAGATTCTTATCGCGCATAGTTGCGATGATGGCTTGAATATTAAGAGGAAGATGACTAGACCAAATGGTTCGCAGTAAATCGTCCGACATTGTGGTTTTCGCCAGACCGCGCAGATGGCGCAGAAATTGCGTGGGTTTCCTGTCTCCCAAATCTCCTGGCTCGAGGAGTTGTTTCATCCGTGTTTCTTGGGAGATGCCAAGCCGACGAATGAGTGTTGCCCTGATGGTGGCATATGGTTCAGTTGCCGGGGGTTGACAATGATATCACGCACTTGCGCCGAATTGTGAGGGTCAAGGTTGCCTAGTACATACCCAAACTTCGGACGTAATTCCGTAGGCCTCAAAACTGCGGTCGACCATACAAAACCAGAGTTCGGGGTCGGTCGGCACGAAGGGTGGCAATTTGACGTCTATTCGATCAAGGGACATGGTGAACGGCGGCGTGTTGTGGCAAGGTTGGGCGTCACGTTGCGGTTGGTCTGGGCGGTGTCGTTATTTTACATGCTGCGTGTCGTGGAACAGGGCTGCGCTGCTCCGCAGGGTGACCAATGTAGTCCTGATGAGGGCTGGCCGGTGGAGAATGTGTGATGGCGGCAGATCATCTTCAGAAGGTTCCGGCCGTGGTCACCAATGTAGTTTATAACTGTTCGTACCTTTGAAGTCGGGGTCACCACTGTAGTCACTCTGTGTAGTCGTAGTAAGAGGTGACTATCAAAGGTTGTGGTTCTGAGAAGAACCGATTTTATAGTATCGTTGGACACATTTCCGCATCATTGATGATTGGGACAAAATCACAGCTTCCAAGGGTTGACACTTTTTCAGCATCCGAATAATAGTGAGCCTGGTGTTAGACTTATTTATTTGGTATTTATACTAAAATATTTACATGATATTATATGGCAAAGAATATTTCAGCACTTTACATTTGTGTATGTGACTGCCGTTGACCTAGTTAGTCGCAGTGTGTCGCGGCCTAACTAAGTCAGCACAAATGCAGAGGCTTAATTGATACACAATATAAATGTTTCTTGCTATACCGAGTGTACCCACAAGTATATAAAGGAAGAAACTATCGCCGAAGGAGGAGTAGAAATAAATTGACCGTTGCAGAAGTGAATCTAGAAATAAATTGACAGCGCAGTGAATAGTGATATAGTAACAATACTGTAAATAGATAGAGTAATTCATCACTTAAGTAATAATTTAATA